CGGGTCCGAGAGAGGGTCCAGAGGTCAGGGTGCTGCCCAGGGGTGGGGGGTAGGGGTAGGGGTGGGGTGGGAAGGGCGAACAGCCTCTGGCCTCCTGCAGCCAGGGTGATTTTGGCAGCTCCGCATGGCAGGCGTCCAACCCCAAACCTCCCCCACCCAGCTTAACAGGAAGGGCATCTCCCCCCCCAAAAAAAAACTGGCTCTGCCTGCTCCCGCGCTCCTGCAGCCCGAGGCCCACAACTCAGTTGCCGCCCCTCCTGATCCAGTTACAGGAAGCCAGATTTCGGCTGAATATCAGGACAAACTTCCTAACTGTTAGAGCAGTACAACGATGGAACCAGTGACCTCAAGGGGAGGTGGCCCCTGGGGCCTGGGCTGTGGCAGAGGAGCAGAGGAGCTCCTTTGTGTAGACCACGGAGGGCTGCTGCTTCCTGCCGAGCGGGGCTCCCTGTGGGCTTCCGTAACCCAGCCTGGGATTCTGTGAACCGCTTGACCCAGGCCAGTCAGGGGCTGCTCCCCCCCCAATGCCTCCCCCATCCCCACGGACCTCACCTTCTTCAGGATGATATCGATGTAGCCGGCAATGAGCTGGGCAATCTGCTCCCCTTCTGTGGTCTGCACAGAGTAGTAGCCGTCTTGGTAGTCCCCAAAATCCTGCCACAGCAAAGCAGAAGGAACCAATGGGTGTGTGTATGTGTGTGTGTGTGTGTGTTTCGCTGGACCTGCATCCTTGGAGGAAGGGCGCCGGTGCCCCTCCCTCTCGCGCCCTCGGCTGAAAAGCCCCCCCCCCGGGACAAGACACGATGCTCTGGACAGCTTAGAGCATCAGGGGTAAAGGGGAAGAGGGTGATTTGCTGATTGTTCAAAAGGTATTCAAGGCTGATGATTAGGTCATTTCAAATTGAAGTTGACATTGAGATTTTAATGTCTTAGGCTTGCCAGGAAGTAATCTGCCAGCTGTTGGCTCTTGCCTCTTTGTTAGCTTGCATCCCTTTAGGTTCCATAGTGACTGAGGAATGGGGAAGTAGGTGGACAAACTAGAGCACAAATGGTTCATGACTAGAGATGGGGGTATTTGTATACGAATACAAATATCCCCGCACAGGTGGCATTAACGAGGGTCCGACCCCATGGGGCCGGACGGTCCACTCACCGATCTGCTGCAGATGCAGACGGCGCAATTCTACGAATGGTTCTGTAGCATGCAATCTGCTTGCCACTCTTCGACCTTGCAGCGAGGCTTGTTCTCCCACCTCCTATCAGGAGTGGCAAGCAGATTGCACACTGCGCGGCCATTGGTAGAATCACACCATCTGCGTCTGTGGTGGATCGCCCCACCCTCACCCCCCGAAGCGACTGCAAGGAGACTCACCTCTCCAGCAGAGATCCTGAGCCTCGTCCCAGCTCAGAAGGAGGCACAGAGAGACACACACCCCACCCCACACACCCCTCGCATCTCACCTTGACCAGGAAGAAAGAGACGCCGTAGGTTTTGAGAGATCGGGCCAGCTTCACGTAGCGGACCTTGGCCTCAATCTCGCTCATGTTGTTGCAGTTCTTGTGAGCCTGAGAGCGGGCAGAGGGGGGACGGGGGACGGGGGAAGGCCTGTGAGCGAGCCCCGGGGGTCACGCTCCCTCCCTCCCACCCTCCCAAGGACCGTCCACATCCCCTCAGCCAAAACCCCCCACCACCAAGGCCTCTGACCAAGGAGCCCCTTGAGAAACTGGCCGCTCAGGACCTGCCCCCACACTCTCCCCCCACCCCCACGGAGCTTCTCCTGACCACAGAGGCAGCTGAGTTGGGCTCCTCAGAGGGATGCTGCCCCCCCCTGCTCACCATGAAAATCTTGCGTTCCCCCTTCTGCTTGATATATTCCTTGGGCAGAAAGTCCTTCAGGCTGAAAGAGAAAGGGGAGGGGAGGAGGGAGCCATGAGGGCCAGGCAGAGGCAGGAGGAGGGACGGAGCAGGACCCCTCCTCTCAAGGAGCCCTTTCGGCTTCACCCACATCCCCCAAGAGGCAGGACAGGCTGGCACGGCCAGGGGGGGGAGGGACCCAAGGGCCTGCCCTGGCCACACTTCTAGGCAAACGAGGGGGTGAGGCTATGACCGGCTCTCAACCACTGTAGATTCCATACACCCCCGCCATCTCTCTCTCTGCAGAGAGCTCTGTCTCTCTCTCTGTCTCTGTCTCTGTCTCTCTCTCTCTCTCTCTCTCTCACACACACACACACACACACGCAGGAGCTGGCATCACTTACTCCAAGAAGCCCGGCTTGTGCTTCTGCTCATTGTGGGCCCCAAACTGGACCTGGCACTGGTAGCCAGCAAACTCACAGGCCTTGTCGAAGGAGACGGGGTGCGAGCCGTTCAGGATGTCATCGCGGGCCTAGGGTGGGGAGAGGGCAAGGTGAGCTGGCGGTGGGCTCCTCCCCAGGAGACCCTCTGCTGGCAGAAAGCCCTTCCGCGGCCTCTTCTTTCCCCTTGCCAAGCAGCCATTTGGGCAAACACAGGGCAAGGTAGACGGGTGGGCAGCGGGGCAGGGAAAAGCAAAGAATCAGGGGATAGCAGTGAGACCTTGCAGCCCCCACCCCCACCCGCACCCCCACACTCCCGGGGGGGGAAAGTGCACCTGGACGTAGAGGAGGTTGAGTTGCACTGGGTCCCGCGAATCGACGTTCTGGTCTGAGTAGAAGAACTTGCGCCGGAGGAGAAGGGTTTCATTGTCGTCGATGCCCTGCTCCCGCAGGGTGCGCCCGTGGTCCAGCCAGTTCACTGTGGGAGGGAGATGATGGGAGCTGCGAGGGTGCTCAGGGGAGGGGGG